TCTGGATGACAACGCAGTCCAACCTTCTCTGGATGACACCCGCAATCCAACCTCCTCTGGATGACACCCATCCCACCATCGTCGGGTGATGTCTTCCTTCCTCCAATCGTGCTGTAGAAACCCGCGGTCCAACCTCCTTGTTACTGAAACCTGCAACCAACCCAGCCACATTGGTTGATAGCGCCGTAATCGCGTCTCGTCCACTGAAACCCCCCACGTATGCCATCAGCTAACCCACCTCCACCAGCACGGTATTGATGAAACTAATCAATACAGAGAGAGAAAAAAAGGCCGGGGCATACCACATACACACACGAAAAATTGTATGTTGCCCGGCGGTAAAAAGTACATTTTAATAGCAATTTCTCGTGTGGGGTCTCTCGCTTCTCCTGTTCTGTTGTGGTCTTGGGCTGAGTGTGAGCAGGCGGTTGCAAGTATATTACACATGTGTGATAAGTGTGTGTAATGTGACGCCATGATGCCAAGGGTGTAGGGTCGATTGACCCCTAGATTGACTCTAGAAGCTGAAGTGGGAGATCGTAACTACTTTGTCTATTGGCTGAGCTCAGCGGGCGCTGTTTTCAAGGTTAGAAGTGAGTATATATGAGCAGTATAGGGGATTCTAACTATGGGAACGTAATTGTGTCACATAACTACAATACAACCTGTTCTTTCGCATAATACATTGTATTTTGATGACAAAAATAACCAATATGATGTATTATAAATCACTTTCGGCTCGCGTGATTGACTTGTTCTCCCGTTTTCTATATTCGTGGACCATCAGATAGCTTGGGTTACGCTAAGTTACGGCAATTTAGTGCATCATTTATTTGACGTAGTGATAACTCGAGTGGACGAGATGAACCATGATCGAACTCGGTACAGCATCTTGGTCATTCCTATCGCTAGAACCACTTATATTCCTCAATATTCATACGTGATGCTATGGTGATGATGAGGTCAAACAAGGTCAAGCCTCGTTTGACCCTAAGCGTATCGTTAGTGCCAGGGGGGATACTATACACATAGTTTATATGTATTTATAAAGATTGATACATAAGTTACATATGTATTTTATGTAACAATTGTTCAACCTCTATATCGTGTTCTATATATTTTTGCAATATAAGTGATAATTATTATTATTATTATTATTATTATTATTATTATTATTATTATTATTATTATTATTATAAAATAATGCATAACAAAACGTTTAAGTTAAAATAACATTATAAATGAAGCAGCTTAAATTAAATTAATAATCTTGCAATTCAGTTTAAAATGATTCATAAATAATTTAGCCTACCTTACACGTACAGAAAACGGGTGATCAGACAATAATTATCATACATCGTGTGGTCACGTGACCGAGGTGAGGATGTATTAAGACATCAGACTAAGTAAACAACTATTGGTTGTAACAGTTAGTCGTTAAAGGCGCCACTGTTAGGGTCGAATTAGTTGGTTATCAAGCCAAGTTGTCATCTGGTGTACATAGGTGGAGTGAGCAGATAGGCACAAAGTTATCAAACAACTTGCAGGCGATGAGTCACAATAACGTGGCTGAAGTATGTTGACCAGGGGCCAGATTCACGAAGCACTTACGCAAGCACTTACGAACGTGTACATCTTTCCTCAATCTTTGACGGCTTTGGTTACATTTATTAAACAGTTTACAAGCATGAAAACTTCCCCTTCAACTGTTGTTATTGTTATAAACAGCCTCCTGGTGCTTTGTAGCTCATTAACAGTTTAATAATTGGAAATAAAGCCGCCAAAGATTGAGAAAACATGTACAGGTTCGTAAGTGCTTGCGTAAGTGCTTTCCTGAATCTGGCCCCAGACCACACACTAGAAGTTGAAGGGACGACGACGTTTCGGTCCGTCCTGGACCATTGTCAAGTCGATTGTGAAGAGGAGGTAGAGACAGGCAATAAATAGGCAAGAGAAAGCTGAAGAGGATAGTAAGGTTTAGGGGATAGTTGAAGGGACGACGAAACGTCGTCGTCCCTTCAACTTCTAGTGTGTGGTCTGGTCAACATCAAACAACTTACTTGAGAGGAAGTGGAAACAGGCTTCAGAAAAACAACTTGTTCAGTCGGATGAACTTTGAACAAGTGGATTGGGTGAATAATGTAAATACTTAATATAGTCTTTAGGTGAATGAGAACACTTGAGATTCCTTAAGTGAATTGTGTTGTGAGATGTCTCAAAAGCTCGGGGACCTCACTCGTGACGTCAGCTGGGGCCGGACATCAATATTTACCTCAACAGCTGATTACTGGCGATGGCTTAAGTGGCCAGAGTATTGGAAAATTCCTGTTAATGTCACAGTGTTTTCGAACACTTCCCAGCCACGTGGTCCCCGGTCACGTGGTCGTAACTCTCCTGTCACGTGGTCGTAACTCTCCTGTCACGTGGTCGTAACTCTCCTGTCACGTGGTCGTAAATCTCCTGTCACGTGGTCGTAACTCTCCTGTCACGTGGTCGTAACTCTCCTGTCACGTGGTCGTAACTCTTCTGTCACGTGGTCGTAACTCTCCTGTCACGTGGTCGTAACTCTCCTGTCACGTGGTCGTAACTCTCCTGTCACGTGGTCGTAACTCTCCTGTCACGTGGTCGTAACTCTCCTGTCACGTGGTCGTAACTCTCCTGTCACGTGGTCGTAACTCTCCTGTCACGTGGTCGTAACTCTCCTGTCACGTGGTCGCCATACTTTTTCCTGCTGGGTGAACATAAGCGTCAGGAGATAGGAAAGTGTTTTGCCGTTTCCCCCTTAAAGGAATCGAACTTGGGATTCTCGATTATGAGTCGAGGACGTAGACCACTGTGCTATGAAGTTTTTGGTATCACTTTGGTCCAAAGTTTTTTTTTTTTTTTGGCCGGTGGAGTTGGCTTCAAGTTCGATTCACAAACTGGGGATTCTGGGTTCGATTCCTGGGCGAGACCGAATTGGTTAGCCACGTTTCCTTTCACCTAATGCATCTGTTTACCTAGCAGTCGATAGACACCAGGGAGTTGAGCAACTGTTGTGGAATTGCATCCCAGGGCGGGTAGGGGGGGGGATTGTAATATATATATATATATATATATATATATATATATATATATATATATATATATATATATATATATATATATATATATATATATATATATATATATATATATATATATATATATATATATATATATATATATATATATATATATATTAGTATATTAGTCTGCTTTAGCTTTAACGTCTACTAAAACGTCCATATTTAAGTAATTGGTCAAGTGGGTCAAAACTAACAACAAGGTCTAACAACCGGAAATCATCTCAAGATAACCTCAAGAAGGTGTTGGGTGAGAGGCGTGAGGAGTGAGGCGTGAGGAGTGAGGCGTGAGGAGTGAGGAGTGAGGGACACTGTACCTCACCACTCCCCAATTAGCTATGTAGCGTCACCTGCTAAATAACTGGCGGCCGAATAATTAGCAGTGAATTATGACATTTGCTATATTTTCACAGCGAGAACTGAATAATATTTGCCATAGGCCGCTAATTATGCCAGGTGTCGGAGTGTGGCGCCGAGCAGTGTGTTCGTAATTGGGAATTGGGAGTAAACAAAATATGTCGATAATTGTGTTTATTATCTAGTCAAGGGGACATATTAATTACATATTGCTTATGTGTAAAATTTATTGAATTGAATGGGATGTAATTTCCAGGATTTTAGTATCCCATTTTCGAGGGGATACGTTATAGCACAGTAGTCTACGTCCTCGACTCATAATCGAGAGTTCCAAGGTTCCTAAGATTAGGATAGCGATAAAGCTTTTCCCCCCATGCGACCCACAACAGTTGGTTAGCTCTCAGGTACCTATATACTACTATGTGAACAGAGAGCGGCGTTAGGTGTCAATGCCCAAACGTTTCGTCTAACTTAGGAGTCAAACCCCAGCCCCACTCTGCTGAGAGTCGACTGTGTTGAGCTACTGAGCTTTAAGGACAATGTGAAGTTTAAATTTATGTTAAATGATATGTCAAGTGAAGTCAAGGTTCGAGGCTCTTATGTGTAATTCTATGTCAACAGCTTCAGAATAATTTCGGCTCAAAAATGGTTTATTTTGAATATGTTTTGAACATTTTGTGATTTTTTTCCAGCGATTTTTGTCTCTCTCAATTCGAGCTCATTTGTTCACCCAGTTATCTTATCGCCCTCACAGCCCTGGCCAGCTATCCGTATCTATCCACCGCAGCCCGGGCCATCCACCCTGGCCCGGGCCATCCACCCTGGCCCGGGCCATCCTCCCTGGCCCGGGCCATCCACCCTGGCCCGGGCCATCCACCTCGGGCTATCCACTGTTGTCGCCACTTTTCGAGTCAATGGTCAGCCACCTCACTCCTTCCTTAACCAGCCAGCACCCTCGCCACACCCAGGCCCCCGCGCCACACCCAGGCCCCCGCGCCACACCCAGGCCCCCACGCCACACCCAGGCCCCCGCGCCACACCCAGGCCCCCACGCCACACCCAGGCCCCCCTCGCCACACCCAGGCCCCCGCGCCACACCCAGGCCCCCGTGCCACACCCAGGCCCCCCGCGCCACACCCAGGCCCCCCGCGCCACACCCAGGCCCCCGCGCCACACCCAGGCCCCCACGCCACACCCAGGCCCCCCTCGCCACACCCAGGCCCCCGCGCCACACCCAGGCCCCCCGCGCCACACCCAGGCCCCCGCGCCACACCCAGGCCCCCGCGCCACACCCAGGCCCCCGCGCCACACCCAGGCCCCCGCGCCACACCCAGGCCCCCGCGCCACACCCGGCCCCGCGCCACACCCGGCCCCGCGCCACACCCAGCCCCGCGCCACACCCGGCCCCGCGCCACACCCGGCCCCGCGCCACACCCGGCCCACCACGCCCCCCTGGACGCAGGTGTGAGGAGTACGACAGGTTGGGTCGGGCGGGGCCGCCGAGGTGCTAGCAGTCACCGTTGAGAAGTGGAGGCGGGAGGACGTTTCACTCGCTGCTGGGAATACTACTCCAAGAATCAGGTCACCGGTGGCTTGTAGCCCGCGAGTACTCGCGACGCAGTTGTAACGATACTCAAGTCGATACTCCGGTGTAGGACTCAGGCAATCCGGTCACGCGTATGAACCCCCTACCTCCCTCCCCCCCGGAACGAAGAAGAGAGGTGCTTCTCCCCTACGGGTTGCTGGCCCTGTATATATTATTGATCACGGCTGTTTTAGCGTGATGCTCAGGAAAATGTCCCATTGACTGCCCTTGACCCACTTCCAGTAGGCACTCGAGGCGGATTTGAAGCGTACATTTCACCTCTTTTTTTTCGCAAATCTTTTTATCCGACAGTACGAAACCACATATTAATTAATCTAATTGACTTTCCGGTGAGTGGCATTTAAATAAAATCGATATATCTGGAGCTCAGATCGCGTTCGGTTCATTGTTCAGTTCTTCAAGTCGTTTGCTGATGGAATATTGACGCAAAGAGCTAATTACATCTTGGAGGATCTTGGCGCCTCTTCAGTGGTCATTACGACCCGCTGGTACCATGACTTCACTAAGTCTCAAAGTCAAGACAAAGTCAGTAAATAGCCTCACTTGAACGAAGGTTTGAAAAATGCAAACTTTAAGTCCGTTGGTCGCAGGATATCAGCCTCGTTACTCAACCATACCACCATAAAATTAATGCATGAAGGAAAAAAAATGCCAGTCAAATTATCATAAAGTGATAACAAAGAGTGATTAAGGATATCAAGAGAGAAATACAGAAGACTTTTAAACAGCTTATACGTCTTCCTCAGTACAGTGATTTCGCCTGTAACGCTTACAGAATACAGCCAGCCAAATATCTATCCTCCAAACAGGTACAAATTACTTTCCACTTGCGTGTAAGTGTAAGTGAATCTACCTCGCCTCCTCTGACTTTATTAATTAGGAAACGTTACTCGCAAACTCACTCCCAACACAGGAGAAGAAATTGAGGCTTTTAAGCACCATTTAATGAAAGGCTTACGAGTTGGAGCGGACACGAACCAGACTCAAACAAGCGGTCAAGGTCCATGAAGTCCGTGCTCAAGCCCTGACACAGGCCTCGTTAAGCACCAAGGTGGTAGTTGGACTCGATATGAAACGAGTTTTGAGTATGGCACCCTGGAGCCACTGTTCACACAACAGCACCAACAGTAGATCACAAAATAGCAGCAACGGTGTGAACAGGAACAACATACTTAAGATCAGAGGCAGTATAAGTATTAGTAAGAGCGATATAAGTGTCAAGAGGGGCAGTCTAAGTGCCAGAAAGGGCAGTATAAGTGCCAGGAGGGGCAGTCTAAGTGCCAGAAGGGGCAATATAAGTGCCAGGAGGGGCAGTATAAGTGCCAGGGGGGCCCGCGTAAGTGTCAACAACACCCAGACGAGCATCACAAGCATGGGACTACTGGTGGTAGTGGTGGTAGCGTTGGCCACCTTTGGGGCAGGAAGTGAACTACCCGACCGAGAGTGCTGTGACTCTGCCCCGCCACCACCACCACACTACCACACCGTCACCTCCACCACCACCACCACCACACCGCAGCCACCCACTTACGGTAAAGTGTTCAAGTTGCTCCTCACTTTAATAAGTTTATTTTTGACTCCACCTCGAGCTGATGAAGCCTCGTTTAACTGTCAGACGGAGTAATTAGACAACGCAGCCAACTAAGATATATAATTATATTAAGAGCAGGTTTAAATACATATATATTGTAGGGTTTGACCTTATTGCATGGGCAACACTTTATTATAAACACTTAACGTTAGTATTATTATTTCATTGTACAATTACTGTATTAATAATTACATTACAAATAATGATGAATCTATAATGATAATACGGGAGGTAGTAATCGTAAATAAGAACTATTTATCATAATGATAAATAGTTAATTAGTCTATCATAATGATAGACTAATTAACTAATTGCAAAATGATATCTACATGCAACCTGTCACTCACACACACACACACACACACACACACACACACACACACACACACACAGTTCTCGCGGCAGACAATGTATGTGTCTGTTGAGCAGACAGCGTTCATGATACGCAATTCACAGGACCCGGCTACGATTACGTCTAGGCAGAGGCAAATGGCCAGTTTCTTTCACCTGAAGACTTTGTTCACCTAGCAGTAAATAGGTGCCTGGGAGTTACCTGTTTTGGGTGGCGCATCCTTTGTGTGTGTGTGTGTGTGTACTCACCTAATTGTGCTTGCGGGGGTTGAGCTTTGGCTCTTTGGTCGTGTGTGTGTGTGTGTGTGTGTGTGTGTGTGTGTGTGACAGGAATAAGTATAATAGATACCGTAGAGAAAAATAGATCTGGAGCCAATACATTACACAACCGACGGTTAAAAAGGTGTAGGTCCTAGACCTAAGAGCTCGATCCTGCAGGCAGAAATAATAAATACACACAAACACACTATTGCGTAGTGGGCTAAATCGTCTCCTTACAACCGAGGATCGCAGGTTCGACCTCCATTGTAGGCAATCCACCCCCCCTCCCACCCCACACACATGCAATAAAAGTAGCAGGTGTAGGGTCGGTCCTGGGCTTGATAAGAGCCCCAGAATGGACTGAAACGTCGCTACTTTCATTTCATGTGTGTGGGTTGGATTATTTTTGTGTTTTTTTCCAGTCACGTTACTCTGAATTATGTCTTCAAGTGTAGAGTGTTGAGAGCGGGAGTAAGAGACCTGGGGCCAGATTCACGAAACAGTTACGCAAGCACTTACGAACCTATACATGTTTTCTCAATTTTTGGCGGCTGTGTTTACAATTATTAAACAGTTAATGGACTCCGAAACACCAGGAGGCTGTTTATAACAATAACAACAGTTGATTGGGAAGTTTTCATGCTTGTAAACTGTTTAATAAATGTAACCAAAGCCGTCAAAGATTGAGGAAAGATGTACACGTTCATAAGTACTTGCGTAACTGCTTCGTGAATCTGGCCCCAGAGATCGAAGACCGGTACAAAGAGTGAACGGAACCTACTCTCAAAATTACCAGTAGAGGGAGACCTAAGAGAAGACTCCACGTTGTCAGCGAACGAACACACACACACACACACACACACACACACACACACACACACACACACACACACACACACACACACACACACACACACACACACAACCTACAAAATCCTCAGGGGAATCGACCGGGTAAACAAGGATGAACTATTCAACACTGGTGGGACGCGAACAAGGGGACACAGGTGGAAGCTGAGTACCCAAATGAGCCACAGAGTCGTTAGAAAGAACTTTTTCAGTGTCAGAGTAGTTAGTAAATGGAATGCATTAGGCAGTGATGTGGTGGAGGCTGACTCCATACACAGTTTCAAATGTAGATATGATAGAGCCCAATAGGCTCAGGAATCTGTACACCAGTTGATTGACGGTTGAGAGGCGGGACCAAAGAGCCAGAGCTCAACCCCCGCAAGCACAATTAGGTGAGTACACACACACACATATAATAACGCTAGCTGGGAAACTGGTGTAGATTCTTACATAGTCTTGAGAAACCTGGAGGCTGCTAGAACACTGTCCACACTCCTTTAAAGTCAAGTCAAAAGTCCACACTGAGGCAAGTCCACAAGTCCACACTGAGGCAAGTCCACAAGTCCACACTGAGACAAGTCCACAAATCCACACTGAGACAAGTCGACAAGTCCTGAGCCTTGGTGTGGTATACCCATCTCAGGTCTCTTGGGTCAGTGTCTTGGTTGTATATAATTCTATCTTCATTAACCATAATGATAGACAACCGGTGTGGGCTTCAGGAAATTGATTCAAGGCGATACAAACTTCTGTTTTTTACAGTTTTACAAAACGAAGGCTTTTCCTGTCTTGTTTTTTGCTTAATATCTAAACCCATTTTCAATTTTCATTTATTTGCTCGTACTAAAGTTAAACTCTAGTAACCATGTGTTAAACCATTCTTGCAATTTGAGTTCGAATTCCACAGTGTTTATCTTCATCACTATTTTAGTTTGATCTGCAATAATAGATAATAGGGAGCGTCTTTCGTATTGAAGATCAATTCTCATAATACAGAAATAGAATGGGCCCAAGCAGTGGCCCTTGTGGGACCTGACGGTAATGTATTCCACAGTGTGATGATACACTGACATGACCTTTGTCATGACATGACATGACTTTTCCTGTCACTGTGACCTGCTCCGTCATGTTCTCCACTGGTCTTGTGTTGGGTGGTGTGGCAAAAGCCTCAAACAGCGTCCGGTTTTTTTCCCATATCTGACGTTTGTCGCTCCAACTGTTATTTATTAAGTGTTTTAAGGCGGGACTTACCGTCCCTGAATCATGGGGTCCTCTATCATATTTTACTACAAAAGCTTTTATCTTCCAACACCTTGCATAGCATGTATTTAAGTCTCCCTTAAATAGATGCATAGCATGTATTTAAGGGACACCTGCCGGCAGTACAGCCCCTCCAGGTTAATTCTCCCGGTTTACATTGGTATATTTTGACTGTTTTTCAGCTTTCTGGCAGTTCATATGTTTCTAGCGGTGCGTGGTATATGTTTACGAGTGGCCAGGGTAAAGAGGAAGAATTATCAGTCTATGAAATATCTTCATAGAGACAGAAACACAGGGTTTTGTTTACCAATATCGAATGCCAACGCATGAGGGAAGCAGTGGTGTGTTTCCTTTGCTTACAAGGAAGCAAAAGAAACTCATATCTGATTATGAGTTTGATTCTTTGTTCATGTCTGATTATGTAAAAATATGTAATGTATTTATAAAATTGTATATTCCAAGGATTCTACTCTTTGTACACGGGAAACGTATATAAATAATTTATTTGGGAAATCGCATATATATATACTTTAATAATTTAATGTTAGAGAAACTTTATTTATTTATCTGAAGTGGGTTTTTTTTTCTTAACCAGAAGCGTTCCAACCCTGACACTCTAACTTAATCTGTCGTGGCCGATGCTCATTTGTCTAAGGAAGCGTCAACATTAAGGTACTTATAGTTTCACTCAAGCGTCAGAATTTCGATGTTGTGGTCGATTGCGTCAAATTGCGGAGCATTAAGTGTGAGGACAGGATGTTAAAGTTTGTATTATTAATGAAAATTGCTGTTCCTTTGTTGACCAGACCACACACTAGAAGTTGAAGGGACGACGACGTTTCAATCCATCCTGGACCATTCTCAAGTCGATTGTGAGAATGGTCCAGGACGGACCGAAACGTCGTCGTCCCTTCAACTTCTAGTGTGTGGTTTGGTCAACATACTTCAGCCACGTTATTGTGACTCATCGCTTGCTGTGCCTTTTTTACTAGAGAAAATATTCGCTTGTCAGTATTTGGGAAGATGGTTTCATTACACTGAAAGACATCTGGATACTGTACGGGGTGAACGGGTACCGTCTGTGACAGACTAGAGGGTCCAGCAGACAGATGTGGTTCAAAGACACGGTTCTGTCTTAACTCTAACTGTTATACTCTGGCAGATAGGCACTGTAGGAGCCAGAGGAGCTTTACTCGACTTTCCCTGCTTCTGCTATCCAGCAGACGATGGTAATTAGTCTCCCGACATTGTCTAGCAGACAGCAGGTGCTATTAAGTACTACTCTGCTTCTCTAGTCGCTTACACCAGCAGACAAGGAGTTACCACAAGGCTAGCAGTAGCTCGAACCGCCAGCAGACGTCAGACACCAGACAGACGCCACACATGGTCAGCAGCACTGATGTCTTGAAGAGTCTCGACAGACTCAAGTCATCATCTTCTCCCTATCCCCCTCCTCCGAGACTCTTCCCAAAGGTCTGAACCCAGATTCACGAAGCAGTTACGCAAGCACTTACGACCCTGTACAACTTTTCTCAAACTTTGGCGGCTTTGTTTACAATTATTACACAGTTAATGAGCTCCGAAGCACCTGGAGGCTGTTTATAACAATCACAACAGTTGATTGGAAAGTTTTCATGCTTGTAAACTGTTTAATAAATGCAACCAAAGCCGTCAAAGATTGAGGAAAGATGTACACGTTCGTAAGTACTTGCGTAACTATTTCGTGAATCTGGCCCCAGTTCTTTAGCCTCCTCCTTCTCAGCACCTGTTTCCTGTAGTCATTTCTTATCCTCGAATTGTCATATGAGGAGTGCCTCCCTCTCTCTCTCTCTCTCTCTCTCTCTCTCTCTCTCTCTCTCTCTCTCTCTCTCTCTCTCTCTCTCTCTCTCTCTCTCTCTCTCTCTCTCTCTCTCTCTCCCTCCCTCTCTCTCTCCCCAAATCGACCACAAAAATACTGACACTCAATCATATATATGAAAAGCAAATGGAGTAAATCCTTTATATAAACAAATACGCCAGTTTACTCACCTTTTGGGGTCCAGAACTCGATAAAACGGGAACGTGTTTGTTTCCAGTCTTGCGTAACCTCCCAATCTTTGCGTGCTGTCAGCCATAACTACGTCGCGTGACGTCAGCAAGAACGTGTGAGGGGGCGTTTTTCTTTTTTTTAAGTCGGATTCGTGGTGACTGGATTATGGATTTCCGGGAACACCACACACA